AAAAGGCCGGCCTCGCCCCCATCTCCTTCCCACGGAGCGTAGGTCAGCTTGTCGTTGTGCCCTTCTTCTTGATCCGTTGCAGGGGTTGTTGGCCTTTTAGTTCTTTACAGAACAATGTTTTGCTGTCCTTAACGGCTGCCGCTAGTTTTGTCTTGGTTTGGGCCCTGCGTTGGGGATTCTGCCCCAGCGCGCTCTTTTAAACCCATCCTGTTTCTGCTTTTTGTACAATTCCTTCTGCTGTGGCCAAGTGGGTCTCGGTAATCTACTGCACTTCCCGTCTTTCCTTCACACGGAGCATCTGTGTCTGTAAGAAAGTGCCAGCTCTCCTGCACTCTTCTTCCCCTCGGAGAGCAGGTAGAGAAAAACCTCATGGGAAGGAAGTCTCCGTTTACTCCTCCCTGAAGCCCCCTGGTTTTATTCTGCTGCTCTTTCCTCTTCTTTGAGAATCCTGGGCTCATGTCTTCGTCACTGTCACTCAAGCTGCTTTGCCCCTTCATATTCATCACAGGTGCAGTCCCCTCGGTCAAAAGCGTCTTGTCTCTTAGCTGGTCTCTCTACGGAAGGTCAGGCTCCTTACTGAACACAATCATGATTACAAAATGGGTAAACTCGGCATTTTTCAATTACATTCCTTCCCTCTTCCTGTGCCTGGGCTTCGGCACAGCGCCCTTCTCCAGCCGAAGGTCCCTCGGGCTCGCGAAAAGCAGGTTTGGCTTGTTCGCATCCTCAGCGGGGAAACGGCGTTCTCACGCCATAGCAGGCTGCAGCGGGGTCAGGGTGCTGCTGTGTGTGAAGGAGCCCTGCGCCCCTTAAGGAGCAGGGACTTGGAGTCATTCCCCTGAACCGCCCACCTCAGGGCCGTCCATCTGCAGCAGGAAACGGCGCTGACCATGGATCACCCGCTCGGGCGCAAAGGCGGCCGCCTCTCTTGGGCCGAGTTCTTGCCTCGTAACACAGTTTCCGAGGGGGGTTAGTACCCAAGGTCGCTGTTAGTGACCCGAATGCCTAAGAGCCGCCTTTGTAAGGCCCCAACACGTTTGTCACAGATTTACCTTTCTCGCAGTTCGATGGCGTCCATGTGGTGAGCGGATCTCTTGACACTTCCATCCGAGTTTGGGACGTGGAGACGGGCAACTGCATTCACACGCTAACAGGCCACCAGTCTCTCACAAGCGGAATGGAACTCAAGGACAATATACT